AAAGCAAACTGTTATGGGAAGCTTGTGTGGGGACTGGGCCACTGCCCAGGAACCTGGCTTCAGCTCCCAGTAAGTCACTGTCAGCACCAAACAGCAGCGTAACAAGAAAGGAACCATGTAGACATATAAAGCTACCACTGAATAACAAATATTTTCTCTTTTCTATACTGATGCAGTCAGTGCTTTTCTCTGAGATAATCTCAATTTATTATGCACAGTTCATAGACGTTTTAGATAGGGTTATGAGTGAGCACCAAGGCCACAGAAGAATGTCGTTAGCGTGGTAAGGCTGGCGTGGCAGCGCTGCTCCCTGAGTGAGTGAACCAGCTCAGGGCAGCAGTGCTGAACTGAGGCCTAAAGAGTAGCCGTGGAGCACCAGGGAATTCGGAGAATTCACGCTATTTGAAAATTAATGAGATGGTTTTAGTGGTACAGCAAAGTGTCTGTACTGCTCTATTGCTGTGAAGACACACCACGACCATGGCAATTCTTATAAAAGAAGCATTTAGTGGGGGCTTGCTTACAGTTTCAGAGGGTTAGTCCATGACCATCGTGGTGGGTAACACAGGCAAGCATGGTGCTGGAGCAGTAGCTAAGAGCTTACGTCTTTGTTTTGTGGCTTTTGTTTGTTTTTAAGATGGGGGTTTAACAGCCCTGGCTGTCCTGGAACTCTCTTTGTAGACCAGGTTGACCTTGAACTCAGAGATCCACCTATCTCTGACTTTTGAGTGCTGGAACTAAAAGTGTGTGCAGAGAGAGCACTTACAATTTACCCACAACCAGCAGACAAGGAGATAGAATCCTCAAAGCTCACCCCCAGTGACACACCTCCTCCAGTAAGGCCACACCTCCTAATCCTGCCCAAAACAGATCCACCAATGAGGGACCAGGTATTCAAATATGAGCCTGTGAGGGCCACCCTATCTTAGTCAGATAAGAGGGGCTTTCGCTCACAGTCGACAAGTTCCCCAAGTTCCCAAGTCCCACACTGGTTATACAGAGTAACCCATATGAGGGCTACATACTCAGTAGGAATCCAAATTTTAGGATGCCAACCCCCTAGACACACATATGCACACACACACACACACACACACACACACACACACACACACACACGCATGCACACATGCACGCACATCAGGCAGCCTACAAGGGCCTGTAACTCCAGCTGTAGGGGATTGACACTCTCTTCCGCAGACACCAGCGTGTGTGTGGCATACACTCACACAAGAACTAAATAAAATAAATTTTAAGCATTTAATGGGGAGTTACTATACACGTTTTTCTTTTTAATGGCTTAAAATATCTCAGATCTTTGACCACTCCTTCACAGCATGTGTGGGTACTTCATCTATAGAAACTGCCTGCCTCTGTGAGTGTGTGCACACAGAAACACCTGGAAGCTCATGAAAATGTCAGTATTATTAAGTGAATGGGAGGAGTGTGGGCGACTTTTTTTCCTTCTTTAATATATTTTATATGTATTGGGCGTTTTGCATCTTGTCTGTGCACCATATGCTTAGTGCCTGAGAAGCCAGAAGAGGGCGTCAGGGCTTCGAGAACTGGAGTTACAGACAGTTGCGAGCCGCCATGTGGGTGCTGGGAATTGAACCCAGGTCCTCTGCAAGAGCAGCCAGTGCTCTTAACTACTGAGCTGTCTCTTAAGCCCCATTTTGCTTTATTTATTTTGTTATTCACTGATCACTTATTTGCTTATTATATAGTGGACATAAGTAATTTTAATCAGATAAAACAATGAAATTGTTGTAAAAAGAAAGCTAGACTGAGTTTTAAAGTTTTTTTGTTTATTCACTTTAAAGTAGCTTCATATTCTTACCAAAAAAAAAAGTCTGTGGCAGAATCCACTGGCCTGGGCTCTCGGGGCTCACAGAGACTGAACGAACAACCAGGGGGCCTGTGTGGACTGACCTGGGCACTCTGCACATGTTAGTTGTGTAGCTTGGTCTTCTTGGGGGGCTCCTATCAGTGGGAACATGGCTGTCTCTGGGGAAAAAAAGAATGATTGTGTTCTTTATTAAAAGAAAAACAATTAATTATGTTGCAGAAAACCTTGTCAGAGGTTGAAAGGGATCTGAAGAAACCAGAGCCTGCCTCTGAACCCCAAGCCAAAGGGAAAAAGATGGTTATTGAGGAAGTCGAGAACTCTGGAGATGAAAGTGAAAAGGGAACCGGAAATAAATGTGAAGATGGTGGTGTGGATACGGGTGAGACATCTTTTCTTTCTGGTTATATGAACTGCTGTTCCCATGATGAGCTTATTTGAGGGTCTTTGTTGCTACAGAAATTGTTAGTTTCCCGAACTCTGCTCTAGCTTTACCTTAAAGTCTACAGTCCAGTTTAGCCCTGCTTTTCTTTTTAGATTTATTTTTACATGTGTGTATTTTGTGTGCTGGGGAGGGACACATGAGCACATGTATGGAGGGCAGAGGGCAGCTGTACCCGAGTCCTGGGATTGGTACCATGCACACCCTTACCAGCTGAGCATCTTGCTGGCCAGTCTTTTTTTCTGGTGGTTTTTCGAGACAGGGTTTCTCTGTATATCCCTGGCTGTCCTGGAACTCCCTCTGTAGACCAGGTTGACCTTGAATTTGGAGATCGGCCTGCCTCTGGTTCCTGAGTGCCGGGATTAAAGGTGTGAGCTGACATCCTCCCACCCCACCCAGCCCACCCAGCTTCTATTTCTTTTTTCTTGTTTATGCTGGTATTGTTTTGAGACAGTTCTATTCCGTAGCCCAGGCTGGCCTGGATTCATGGCAATCTTCCTACTTCGGCCTCCTGAGTGCTGGGCTTACAGACGTGAGCCACCAAACCCCTTGCTCCTCCATTCCTCAGTACAGATGCCCTTAGTTCCCGACTGCCTTGCCTCTGCCTCCCACTTTTGGGATTGCAGATAAATGCCATGGTGCCTGAGACTTTTCTTCACTGAACGATAGCTTTTTTTTAAAAAAAAAAAAACAAAAAACTTTATTTCTGAAGGAATTGTTAAAGGTGGACAGTTCTTTGGTTTGCCAGTGGGAAAAACCAAGTGGAGGTTTTTTTTGTTTTTTTTTTTTAATCTTAACTGGAACTTCTATTGCCATTACTATTTATGTGTGTGCACGTGTGTGTGTGTGTGTGTGTACACGTGTGTGTGTGTGTGTGTGTGTGTGTGTGTATGTGCGTGTGTGTGTGTGTGTGTGTGTGTGTGTGTGTGTGTGTGTGTGTACATTATCACAGAAGGGCACTGAATGATGGGTCAGAAATGGCTCTCTCTCTCTCTCTCTCTCTGTTTCTCTCTCTGTCTCTCTGTCTCTGTCTCTGTCTGTCTGTCTCTCTCTCTCTGTCTCTGTAGTGGGGGAGTACTGCTTCTGTGGTACTTGGCACAGGGACCATCAGAGAGAAGCATCTTAAGAATCTATTTAGTAATAATATACCATAACCATCCAGATTCAGGTATCTAATCAGTGATGTAAGGCTCCGTGGTTGAGTATCTACTGAGAACACATAAGGCAGGCCCTGGCTTTGATATAGCCACAGACACAAACACACAGAATACTTTCACCACACGCATGCAGACCACATCCACACCCCCACACCCCCACACACCACAAAGATACACACACACATAGAGACATAGACACACACATATACACCAACATATACACACTGCACACATACAAACCACACAGATACAGACCACACACACATACACACACAGACCTGGAAAACATAAACACACAGACCCCACAGACTCAGAGACACAGACACATATATATCACAGACACACACGCAACCACACATGTGCATATACACACATACACACAAACTTACATTTATCACACACACACAACCACACACACACATACACACACACACACACACACCATACACGTACAGATCACACAAACACACACGCACACATGCACGTGATCGTTCCTTTTCTGCTTATGTATCTTTATTTGGAAAGAAAGGCTTTCAGTTTAAGAAACAGTCACACTCTGCTCTTGAACATAATTTTCAAATTTGGCAGATTTTGGTGTTTTTGACAACTTTCGCCACTGTCTAATTTGGGGACATTTTTATCACCCACCAAAGCCATGTGACTCCTTCATCCATGGCTCCGCCTGCCCCACCTCCAATCACTAGTCTCCTATGGTTTTGCCTATTCTTTTTGTTTCATACTAATGCAAGCACAGACAACGTAGCTTTTTGTTTGTTTTCCTTTTGAGACAGGGTCTCGATGTGCAGACCATGCTGGCCTGGAACTTGAGATCTCCTACCCCTGCCTTCCCAGTGCCGGGATGTTAGGCGTGCACCACTATATCTGGTTTGAGATCGAATGATTTTCTGATATTGAAATACCCTTTTCTTCTTCTTTCTAAAATTTATTTTATGTTTACAAGTGTTTTATTTGCATAGGTGTAAGTGTACCACACGCATACCTGGTGCTCTCAGGGGGTGTCAGATCCCCATGGAAATGGAGTTATGGATGACTGAACTACCGTGTGGGTGCTGGACCTCTCTGCAAGAGCAGCCAGTGGTCTTAACCGCTGAGCCACGTCCCGAGCCCTACCTTTCATTCTTTAGCTGCATCCCTCTTAGCCACGGTGTGTGATCCTTTTGGTGTGCCATTCAAACAGACCAATGGTGTTTACTACGATTTTCTTGGGTCACTACCACACCGAGGCCTTGCTGCTAGCCATCCCTCTTCTCATGTTGATTATGGCTGGCTCCTCTGGTCCTGAATCCTCCTGGCTTCTGAGGCAGTCCGTGTTCTGTCTCCTTAGACACTCATCCACCTCCACAAGAGACTTCTCGGCTTATCTTTCTGGTGTATTTCTCAGGGACCTCCCCGCCCTGCCCCGGGGGCGGGGTCCGGTGATGGCACCCACCCACTTTGATGATCTTTCTGTCTGTTTATGACACCGCCTCCTGACAGCCCACCAACATTGTCCCATCACTAGCAGCAGGACTCACAGGCAGGCCCCTCTGCTTACCTTTCCGGAGGTGTGGAAGGTTGTTCAGACATGTCACATGGCAGCTGTGCTGGCCTCTCTGTCCTTGAGTGGATCCTTTGTGTCTCTCACCCTTCCCTTGTACAGTGGGATGATACTGCTGAGCCTGAGGGCTAATGAAGATGTGTGCAAAGGCCTTGACCCCCGGTAGACATCTGGTGGTCATTTTGGTCAGACATGAGGGGATGCCACACAGAGGGGTGGAAATAATGCTACATTCCCCCATCTCTGCTGGCAAGTCAAAAGCTGCAGGAGGCACGGAGCTCCACTGTAAGCTGTGCAGCCGGAGGCTCTCCTCACTGGCCTCCCCTCAGGAACAGCAGATAGTCTTGACTTACAGCGGGAATACTTCCTAGGCCTATCGGTGTGAGGCAGAAGTTGGGTTTATTAAGAAAGGGTTTTAATATAGATGTAAGCACAGGAATTAGGAAGGCAAAGGAGGAGGGGGAGGAGCTTGAGACAAGGATGGTGTCCAGCCCAAATGTGACACTGGCTTCTGAAGACACGCTCCGGTCCGAGGGTCTTACCCACACTCCACAGAGAACTTCAGTGGCCTTGAGGGTACATTGTTCAGAGGATTTGGGGGTCAAGGGAAAGGTTTTAGCATACCATTTATGTTAAGAACTTTCCTTTAGTACAGGAGGGTATAAGGTACTGTATGAAGTTCATTGAACCGGGTTTACAGGCTGAGAAGATAAAAATGGGTCAAAAGGGTCCAAGGAATCCTCACCATACACAGGCCACAATTCAGACATATTTTGAGTATAAACATGGCTCATAGCCTTGTTCATGTGATTTTTTTTTTTTTTATTCCCAGCCAGCATGGGTGCCAAGCCTCCTTCCTTCCCCACATTTCCTTTTCTCTTTCTATCCACCTTTTATACCAGTTTGGGCTTACATCACACAGCTCGATTCAGGGGGAGGCTTTAGTAGTAGGTACCAGTCATATGACTTACTTCCATTACACAAAGTCTTTTCTTTTATTATAATAATGAGCCTCTTTTGGTTGGTGATTCAAATTGAATTTTTTTTTAAACTTGTATTTGAACATGGTGGCTCACTCCTATAATCTCTAATACGCAGAAGGCTGAGGCAGGAGAGTTGTCATGAGTACCAGGCCAGCCTGGGCTATAGCATGAGAATCTGTCTGGAAAAAAAAAAAAAAAAAAGGAGGAGGAAGCGGGGGGGGGGGGGGGGGGGGGGGGGTGTGTGTGGGGGGGGAGCAATTGCATTTTCTAGTCTTTAGCGTCTCCCTGTGAACTGGTCACCAGTCACGTGGGGTTTCATGAGCTAACTGTGGTTTTCTCTGCTGTCTCAGATGATGGAAAATACAGCCAGGAAAAGTTGGATTAGAAATTGTTAAAAAGAGGAAACTTGGGAACTTGGGTATTTATGGTTTTTGTTCGTTTGAGACAAAGTCTCTATATGCAGCCCTGGCTGCTTTATAGAGGTCTGCCTGCCTGCATTAAAGGTATGCACCAACTTTAAGGAAACACCAAACAGCTGGGCGGTGGTGGTGCACACCTTTAATCCCAGCACTCGGGAGGCAGAGCCAGGTGGATCTCTGTGAGTTCGAGGCCAGCCTGGGCTACCAAGTGAGTTCCAGGAAAGGTGCAAAGCTACACAGAGAAACCCTGTCTCGAAAAACCAAAAAAAAAAACCAAAAAACCAAAACCACCAAACAAAAAACCTTTTTTCAGCATTGCTTTGGCATACTTAGCTACTCTGCTTTAGATATTGATAAGACACCCACAATTGAAATTCATATCATTTTCATATTTAAAACTAGAATCAAGTTACTAATGCCTGAAACTTGCAGTTGAATTAAAAGAAAATTGTACTTTGAATAAGGCATCTGAATGGAAAATTCACTGTTTTGTTTTTATTTTTTGAGACAGGGTCTCCTTATGCATCCATTCTGGCCTGGAATTTGTCATATCCTCCAAGGGCTGTGATTATAGGCATGTGCCACCACATCCAGCTATGAATGGAAAGTTTACTATTTTTAGGGCCCCATAAAACCTAAATACTTTCTATGATTTTGCTGAATTCATTTTGAAATGAATTGAAAATCACTTTGATGTTATCTTTCAAATGACCATTTTCTCCTAGTTCCCTGACCTTGGGCGGAGTCCTCATTCTGTGGATCAAGGTCTAGTGACTTCATTCATTCCTAAATTGAGAATGAATGAGTGCAAGCTCTACCTGTACAGATGTGGTCTGGTGAAGGAGATGGCTTTGAAAGACCAGCTCTCAGTCGCCTGCTCTTCAGCGGTTAAGGAGTTAATCTGTGCAGATGGCCACTGGACCTGGTCCTCGGGATCCTGGGGCCGGGCGGGCAGGACGCCCACTCGGGGCGGCGGGGAGCTGGGACTCCGCCCGCGGGGTGGCGCCGCCGCACCGGCCGGCCGGGCTGGATCGCGCGGCGGCCGGGGATGCACTCACCTCCCGCGCCTTCCCTACAGCGGCGGCCAGCGCCATGGGCAACATCCAGAAGAAGCTGATGGGCCGGGGCCAGGGCAGCCGGCGGTCGCGGCGGGGCCGGACCCCGGGGCCCCGAGCCGAGCAGCCGGGAGGTCTGCAGCAGACGGAGACGGCGCGCGCCGACAGCCCGCACCCCGGGGAGCCCCGAGCCGCCGACGGTCCCAGTGGCCTCAAGAGCCACGGCAACCAGCTGTTCCGCGGCGGGCAGTTCGCCGAGGCGGCAGCGCAGTACTCGGCGGCGATAGCGCAGCTGGAACCTGCAGGTAGGGGACCGCGCCGTGGCCACCTCAGGTCGGGACAGAAGCCGGCCTCCCGCGGTGACAGGCACTGGCCCGCATTCCTTCCCGGTGACTAAGGGCACCGCGCCACTTGACCTACGTGAGCAATACCTCGGAATGCGAAGCCAGTGCCGGCCAGGCAGGTTTGCACGGGTCCCTGCCCTACCTTCCCGTGTGGCTGGTGCGGGGACAGCTCCTCCGAGCTCTGCAGGATGAGCAGGCTGTGGGACTGACCGCAGTGCCGCGGAGACCGCAGTCCTGTCACGTCATTTTGGTGAACTGTGATTTTGCTAATGGGTTTTAACTGTGTTTAATTAAATGTGGTTTTAGGAAATGCAAGTGCGGATGAGCTGAGCATCTTGTATTCAAATAGAGCAGCATGTTACCTCAAAGAAGGGAACTGCAGCGGCTGCATCCAGGATTGTAACAGGTAAATGCACTCCAGGTTGGTCAAGAGACGGTTGTAATGGTACTGTGAAGAAGGCAATGTTTAATAGTCTTCTAAGTTTTCTGTAAGAGCCTAGTTTCCTAAGACTGGCTTAAGTGCTGTGACTAGAATATGAAAAACCCCTGTCTACACACACACACACACACACACACACACGCACACGCACACGCACATGCACACGCACACACACACTCATAACCTATAGGAAATTATCCAAACTTTTTCCCGTGCTCCTACTGAAATTTGTACTTTCCTCTCCGGATTACCAGAGATGCCCAATAACTAGTTTCAGGCCACTTGTCACCAGGGTAACTTCTACTGAATTTTGCCCAGATGGTATTGTCTTCAGATCAGCTTCCTTGGCACCAGCTTGCTCCCCAAACTGGACCGCCTCCCTCCACTCACCACCCAGGCACTAGGCCTTCCGCTGCCACCTTGTTCAGATAGGGTCATGCTCTCTGCCCATCTTCGCTCCTGAAACCCTCTCAGCTGCTGGTCGACCTGGTGGGTTTCCCCAGACCCCCGGCTCCTGAGCCTTGGTTGTGCCTGTAGATCCTCCAGCCATTCACTCCAGCACACACTCATTGATGGTAACCTGCTGGGCTGCGTGAATGTATGCACATGAATAAAACATTTCGTTTTCTTTCACCATTAAGTAATAAACCCTTTGGCAAGAAGTTACTATTAGCACATCTGAAAACAATAGGAAGTCATGTTCTAGATTGGCTAACACAGACCTGGTTTACTCCTGCTCTTCCTGTAGAAATTAGAAATGCTCACACCTTTCCACTCAGAGAAGCTCCAGTTTGGAAAATAACTTCATGAATCCTGTTTATAAGACAAATACTTTTTCTCGTTCAGCTTATTGATGTAGATTAAGCATGGAGTGTTTGCATCTCCAGTGTCAGAAGAAGCGCTACGGCACTTTGAGTTTCCTTGTTTTTGCCAGTATTATAGACTGCAGTTTAATGTAATAGCGTTTGTTTTTTGGTTTGGCCCGTCTTTAGCCACAGTTGTGCTGGTTCCCATTAGCTAACTGCTGTGAATTAGGAGTTCATGAGCTAGTTGACATCAGGTGGGTAGCTTGAAGTCTGTCATGGTGTGAGCACTGACCCTGTGAACACCATCAGATGCCCCAGATCTGAGCTGTGACTGGCTGAGGGGGAAGGCCATGCGAACTGACGAGACAGGCATGTTGTGATCAGTAGTGTGCATCCTTTCGATGTAACTGCTTGTTTCTGGTGTATTACTCAGGAGGAAACCAAAGAGCGGCCTCCGGTCCTGGTATCCACGGAGGCTAGACTAGGAGGAGCTGGTCCTGGGGGAGCCAGGGGCCTGCTGGGACGTGGGGTGGGCAGTAGCTGAGGGAGAGTGACCCCTGAGCTGTGTTGTAAGCCAGGAATGTGGCTCTGCCAGCCAACACCGACCTCTGTGCGGCTGACCTACTTAGGTGTTTTCTTTGATACCTGGTGAGAGTCCCAGCAGGAGAGCTGGAGAGGACACCTGTGGGATGCTGTTATTCTCAGGTTTGTTTAAATGCTTCAGGAACATGTTCATATATGGATGCACTTGAATCTGTATGAATGAGGAGCAACTTATTTTTACAAAGTGTGATGCTCTTTTATAGCCCCAAAGACTGCACACATTTTAATGGAAGCTTCTTATTTTTAAGATTTGCTTTTTGAAGAGCTCCATGAGCTCTTATTACAGATAAGTGGAATTATAAGTCAAACCTTGAAAGAGAAGCCAGGAGTTGTGGCTCACACCTGCAAACCCAGCATTTGGGAGGTGGAGGCTGGAGGATTAGAAGCTGAAGGTCATCCTCAGCTACAGAGAGAGTTCAAGGCCAGCCTGGGCTACATTAAACACTGATTGAAGAAACAAGCCAGACATTTTAAATGAGTAAAAACTTTTAACTTGTGAAGATACTGTTTTTAAGATTTATTTTTAAAGTATTTAATTATTTTAAATCATGTGTGTTCATGTATATGCCATATGTGTGGGTGCCTGAGGAGCCCAGAGCTGTTGCCTCCCCTGGAGATGGAGTTATAGATGGTTGTGAATTGCTTGATGTGGGTGCTGGGAATCAAACCCAGGTCCTCTGGAAGAACAATATATGCACTTAACAGCTGAGCCATCTCTCCACCCCAAGATTTTTGTTTGTTTATTTGTTAGTTTGTTTTGTTTTCTTTCGAGACAGGGTTTCTCTGTGTAGTTTTGGTGTCTGTCCTGGATCTCGCTCTGTGGAACAGGCTGGACTTGAACTCACAGAGATCCGCCTGGCTCTGCCTCCTGAGTGCTGGGATTAAAGGCGTGCACCACCACTGCCCGGCTAGCCCAAGATTTAATTTTTTAAAAAAAGTGTATGTATGTGTGTATGTGTGGGTGTATGCATGTGAGTGCTGGTGCCTAAGGAGGCCAGAAGAGGGTGTCAGATCCTCTGGAGCTGGAGTTCCAGGGGACTGTGAAGCCTCACTATGTGAGTGCTAAGAACCCTGGTCCTCTGCAAGAACAGCAGTTGGCTCTAACCACTGAACCATCCCGCCAGCCCGAAGATACATGTTTGTGTATCTTTGGAGCAGCAGTGTTGCCCAGAGGTTGTTTGCAGAATCACTCTTGGGAATGTTGGTGGTGTACAAGGGGCTGTGGACCTACTCCGCCTCATGCCATCCTTCTCCACATTTTAGCTATCATGCCTAAGCAAAAATCCGAGAAACACTGTTCTCAAAAGCATTTTTACTGCATAATTGTCAGCCAAAAAAAAGCCACATCACATTTCCTAATTTCCTATTTGTCAGAGAACTTCTTCAAGTTATCTGAAGAGCAGTCACGCGCGCATGCATCTCACACACACACACACACACACACACACACATAAACACACACAAGCATGCACACACACATATACAAACACACCACTGGACAGCTTCCC